ATCTATCATGTACCCGAGTCTTTATCCTCAGTCAGGTATCTCGACGTCATGATCTGTCAGTGTCTTTATGAATATATTTGTTGCCATAACTATATAGGTTGATTTATGTTGTATGTAACCATCTAAAATAGATGGGCCTATATTGATAAAATCTAAACAGCCTAGCACATACCCCAAACTACATACCCCAACATCTACACCTAAAATGTAAAAGAATGATGATAAAAAAACCCTATAATTATCACTCATCTAGTTTGTGGTAGGAACCCTGGTTTGACACTGACATGATTGACAGACCCTGCACGCACCTTGGGACATAAATCCATGGACTGCTGATGGCACTAGTCACCGAACGTAAAGCACGAAGAAGGCACCGTGTCAAATGGCAAGCTGCAGCACATTCAGAGATTTGCATTTTCCTGTTAGCGGTAACGTTTCAGTCGCAATCCCCTTTGGGGTTCTTGCGCTTGGGGCGCTTTGCGCCAGGATCATCTCTTGGCTGCAAGCTTGACCCCCCTGCGCCCTGCTCTGGTCCTGTCAGTAGGCTTCTGCTGGTTCAGGGTTTATAGGCCCCCCTTAAGTAGATAGAATATGGGTTTGTGGGATCTTATTATAATATACCCGAGGCCCGAGGCCATAGTCTATCTGTCTATCTACTTACGGGGGATAGGCGCAGGGCGCAAAGTTCAAGCTTTCTAGGTTTCTGGCTTCAAGGGTTTGGTGAGGCTTCCATGGCACACAGTAACAGGCTTCTCGCAACAAACCTTAAAACAGTACCACATCAAAACGCATGATCTCATGACTGACAGGCGGCTGGCTTCCAAAGGTCGCGGCCGCTTCTTGCCACGTTGCGTTGAAGCAGTAGCTGCTTCGGGCGGAGCATTGTCTGTTTTGGCCTGCGCTTTGGCCTTTGCTGCACCTCGGCCTCTGCCACGGCCACGAGCGCGGGTGTCGTCCTTTCCTGCCTTGCGAGCTGCTGCTGCTTCGATTGCTGCATCCGCATCCGCGTCTTTATCGTTTCTTGCCTGCTTGTCCTGTTTGACTGTCTTAGTCTTCCTGTCCCGTGTCGTTGGGACCTTGCTGGTTGCCTCTGTGGGTGCTTCAGCCTCCCTTCGAATACCTGATGGCCCTGGCCTAGCTGGGCTGCTGCTGTTACCGCTGCTGTTTCGCCGTTTGGAACTGGGACTAGTGGCGCTGTCGCTGCTGCTGCTGCTGCTGTCGGTGCCGTCGGATTTTTTCTTTTCCTGCTTCTTACTTCTCTTCTTCTGTTTGCGACCTTTGCTACGGCTCCTACCTCTTTGGGTCTTGTCAACGGGGGCAGCAGCTTGAGGCTTACCTTCAGCTGGGTGAGGGCCATCCGCAGGCACTCCGCCTTCTTCCAACTCCACTTTCTCACCTGTCAACTCAGCAGCTGCATTGCGCAGCTCGGTCTCAATCTGCTCCCGCGTGGGCTGGGTAGAGCAATCCTCGGAGCAACAGATGAAAATCCTACGCCGTTCAAACTCGACTCTATATTCTATGTAACAATACGCATGAGGCGAAAGTCCAGGAGACACTTCAAGTCAGTAGTCTGAACAACAAAGCAATCACTCAAAGCTTCCCACCAGCTATACACCCACCTGAAAGAAACACCCGCTGGAAGACTGAATGACTGAAGAATCCCCCTTAAGTAGATAGAATATGGCCTTGGGTGTATTTTTAATAAGATCCCCACATACCTCAGATTTTATTCTAAAACTCAAAGGGGCGGGGACTATAAGTTTTGGGGGCGCTGTATCCGTTTTAAAGCAGGACGGAAAACACTGGCCAAGCATGCCGTGGTTCGCGGCGATGGAGAGCCCACAAGCGCTCCACAACCTTGATGAGAGCTTGACTTTGTGTCCACTTGCCCCCTCCATAACTTCTGCGAGTTCCATGCTCCTTGTTTGCTTGAGTCTGTGCTTTGCTTGGCTTGGCTTTCTTGCTTGTTTTGCCTGGGGTTGCTGGCTTTGGGTAGGAACCTGAGAATGTAGACTCTGTCGCTTGCCAAACCAACGTGCAACCTCGCACGGGAGGTTTCAGTTTTTTCAGACAAGCGGGAGTTGCATTCTCGGCTGCTGATCTGCTCAGCCCAAACCGTTTCAGGATCAGTTCGTGTCTTTGGTGATCTTCCAACTCCATTTCGAGGTCAGCAAAAACCTTCCCGTCAGGTTCATCTGCGAGCAGGCGCAGGCAAGGCAGGAGTGACTTCATCTGTATCACATCCACAGGGTCAGCGCTGCCCTTGGCCTTCTTCTTCCACACCAATCGCCCCGCCATTTCATTCTGCTCCTTCTCGGGCAGCTCCGGGAAAAAATGGCAAACGAGCGCCTTCCTCACATCAGGAGCAGCTGGCCAACATTAGCTAGCTTCGTCAACTCAAGGCAAAACACTGGGACCTGGAACTGCAATGACTTTACACAGCTCCGTCAAGCGGCACGCGACACTGTGCGCCCACCTTCTTCTCCTCCCATGGCTCTGGCGTCAACTCTGCCAGAACACAAAGCGAGACCAAACTGTTCTTCGCCTGCGCGCCCAGCTCCCCAAACTTCAACCACCAGCGCACGAGCCCCATGTTGTCACCGGATCGCTTCAACAGGAGAGAAGCCGCGCGACCTCTGGCAGCTGGTGCCTGAGAAGGCAAGCCTCAGATGGTTTGCAAGGATAACTGCGCACAGATTTGCTTGAAGGGCTCAAGCGTGATAAAGCCTGTACATCACAAGAAGAAATCGATCATACTCACTGTGGGGCTTCCGACACACAGACACTGGGACTGCACAAAACTCCTCACCGTCCTCCTTGTCAGACCCTGGCCCAGATGCCAGCAGATCAAGCGAACGGGCCTGCAGGCGCTCACGTGCGCTGCAGTGTTTACCACGCAAATCGAAGTGGTTGTCCATAAGCTCTTCGATCACCCACGTAAAGAACACCTGTACGCTTTTGGGGAATAATTTCAGGACCCAAGGTTCATTACGATTAAGGGGTGGCCCAGCAATCAATCACACTTCAAGACCACCGTGGAACCTGGAAATGGTTGCCGAGCACTAGGTGATAGCGCCCAGAGGCTTTGTGCAAAAGGACTTGTCCTGTCTGAACAAAAGCCCCAGACCACAAAGCACCAACATCAGTTGCAAACCGTTTTGGCCATTCCCGTCGGATGATGCACATAGCTGCGATACTTCTGAAATCTGCAGGCTGCCCTGCAGGTTTCCACGCCAGAGTGGGCTTGCCTCGGCTAGAAGTGAGGAAGCAGCTCAAAACGGGCTGCCCAATTACTCATGCAACGTCCCTACAATTAGACCGTTATACCTCCGAGGTCCTTCATTTTGTCGCCACACGCGGAGGAGCTTGTCTTGGCGGGCAAGAACACTCTATTGGATGGCTTGTACTTTTGATGACTTCTCGACCAGAAGTCATCCTTCGATAGCTGCACCCGTGGCCAGGATTCCCCATCCAAACGATTTGCCACAGCCCCATGGCAAAACAAGCGATCTGGCCCAGATCGCTTGATGTCCTTGTTAAGTCCTTTCGCCATTCTGCTCAATTCTGCAAATGTATCTTCAAGGCACTCTTTCGTGCTCACAGGTCCATCAAACACTCTATATAAGTGGGACCATATGGACCAAATATCCCAGGACACGGCGGCTGCGTGACTCCATAGCTCCTAGCCAGGCAAGCGCAGTTTCCGCCTACTGTGTATTGTGTGAGACAGCAAAAAAAAGGAACCATGAGAGTCCTGAACAACCAACTGGCGATGCACCCAAAGCTCGTCCAGCACCACCTGGAGCGCCTGACCAAAGCTGGGTGAAACGCAAATGAAGCAGTTCCGCTACAAACCCAAGGCCTGCCGATCGCAGTCTCCTCGCCGGACTGCCAGCAAAGCTGCTTGGACTGCCTCACAATCATCCTTCATGCGTCGCCTCGCCCTATTGGCCGAGCCCATGTCAGCATCAAGAACGCCCGCCCATTGGTTGGGAGGGATGTGCGGATGGCCATGCTCCAGCACCTTTGCGCTGCTTGCCGGACCACCATGCGTTGAAAGATGTCAGCAAAAGCTTGCAAGAGATGTGGATCCTGAGACGCATCATCCAGGCGCAATCGAAAATGCACCTCTTCATCTTCCAACAACTGGAACATGGCCTCAATTTCAGTGACCCACGCCTGGTTGGCCCATGACGCCTGCAATTGTATGTTATCCTTTCTGTTCTTGGCGCACTCCAGAACCGTCAAGTGGGCCAGGTAGAGGGGCTTCTGCATGAAGTGAATCCTGTCCCACACAGACGCCAGACTACAGTTACTGCAAACTGCGCTTAGCTTTGGCTGCAGGAACGCTAATTCAGCCAAACCGCTGCCACCCCAGCTGCTTGATATGATTGTCGTGCAGCACGTCGGCGGTGACATCCATGTGGCCCTTGCGAGCCTGCAGCTCGGCAAGTTTGCCAAGCAAGTCTTGCTTGATTCCCTCCGGAGTGTCCGACAAGATCAGCTGGATGGGTTCGCCCGCAGCGTCCTGCTGCAAAGTATTCCACACTAAAGCAAAACCAAAGCAATGTGAGCCGGGCTGCACTACAGTCACACGACAGCCACATACGTCTATACAATTGATCATCATACTTTTGATGTCCTGTTTCTCAACCTGTCCGGCAAGAGAACGGCGAAAGTTGTGCACTTTGCGGAGAAAGGTCCAGCATTTTGCAAATTTAGGAAATGCGGAATGCCACTGAAACCATCTGGACAGAAGCACCTGAACCAAGCACACTGCGAAGTCTGACAGAGGCAAACATCCTTAAATAAGAGTGCACACTAATGAAAGTGAGCGGCTTGCGTCGTAGACCACATGTCAATGTTCTTGCTGCAAGCCTCGTGCACTTCCTTGTTCGTGGCGGACGAAGGCAGCCCCAAATCAAACTTCATCTCAGCAATGTCCTCGCTGAACCTTATGTTGGTTACGAACGCGCGCACACACACACACACACGCGCATACACACAGGCTAAATCGGTTGTTTGTCAGACAGTTGAGAGATAGACAGATAGATAGACAGATAGATAACGTTGCATTTTCGAATTTTCCAAAGCAACGTGAATCACACGGAGAGAACGAGAAAGAGGGTGAAAGCGGGAGAAAGAGGCGAGGGAGAGAGGCAGAGAGAGGGATCCAGGGAGGGAGGGAGGGGGGAGAGAGTGAGAGTGAGAGAGAACATACGTATCAACCTTTATAAACCTCCCCCCAAGCTTGCCTGAATGCCACCCATGAAACAACATACCTTCCAAAATTGCCCTGAAAGACCCTGAACCTCACCCCACCCTGAACGAATGGGGCCTGGGACGCCCCTGCATCGCCATCATGAAACCCAAAAAGACTAGCCACCTCCACCCCGCGCCTGCCTAACGCCTCCCATCCTCAACACACCTTCCGAAGCAACCCTAAAAGACCCTGAACCTCATCCCCCCCTGAACGTGCATCACCCCATCCCCAGAAACCCGCAGCCCTTCCGCAGAGAGAGAGAGAGAGAGAGAGAGAGATTGAGATTGAGAGAGAGTGAGGTTCCTCAAGTTTGCTGACATGACGCTCTTCAGTTGTGGCATCGAAAACGATCAAGTACGTTCTCGCAAGGTCTGCAAGTTGTTCTCCGAAGTCATACGAATCAAAAGGTTTCCTCGCCATCGACATTATCAGTCGGCAGCAGGCCACAATTCCTGTTTGGCATGTCAAACACACTCTGGCCCTTCACTCCTGCAATAAACGCAATGCCACCATAAACATGACACATTCACATGGCACGGTCCCCAAATCCGCATTGACTTCGGGCCATGCATGGAATCGTGGTGCGCCCTGTGGTGCTCATCGCGTTTGTGAAGCACTCTGAATTGTGGCCCGGGGCCATAGGTCAATGCTCGGATGGCTTTCATCCTGAGCGATCCCAATTGCTCTGGCTTCTACCTCTGTGAACAGTATCAATGCTATAACTCATAGGGCTCTAGCTGCTTTTTGTCTTCGTCCGTGGTGAGGACGAGGACGGGCAACCGATTAAGGTCGTCCATCTTTCGCTCCGCGGGCGGTGCAACTCTGAGTTGGAAGAAATCCAAAGACATGTCAATGCCCGACAAAGCATGCTCAAGCTGGCACATGGGTTTCACGAAGTCGGATTTCAAAGCTGCCTTGTCCTTTCGCAACTTGGCCAGCGACCCCACAGGAATAATGTCTCGCTGCTCCATGTCCTTTAGTGCGGCCGACGCAGAACAACAGCCACAGCAACTTATTAACTTGGAACTCGAACCTGCAATCAGTCTGTGAGCAGGCTGCAAACTATGTTATGTCCAAGCCACGGCCACATCGCGCGCCAAACGTAGCTGGTCCATTTCCTGTTTGTCTTCAGCTGTAGTCTTCTCCTCGCAGTCTTCGAAGCTGCGGAACAGCTCTTTCACCGTCCCCACACGATGCACCTTGGACTGGGCTGGCAGGAAGAAAGCTACGCGTCTGAATTTCCACAAGCGTGTCATGTCTGCTGGACGGCGCAACTGGCAACGCATCACCCTTTTCGTTGCGCTCCTGTGGCAAGTGACGTGACCTCGTCAAAAATGGCCTTGATTGATTGTAAGTAGCACGCTACTTCAACCTTACACTTACACTTCAAACAGGTCCCAGGCCAGACTGGACGAGAAACGCTTGTGTGTGACAGCGCCCAGATAGAGACAAGCTCAGCTCGAGGCAAGCCCGCGCCAGAACAAACAAAGAAACTTAGCACTCCACGGTGATATTCTATGGAGACGGAGAGAAGAGTCAGGATGGGAAGCTCAGAGCAAACCGCCTGCCAAAAGGCCTCCCAAAAGGCCTCCCAAAAGTCCCAAGGGCCTCTCAAGGGCCTGTCAAGGGCCTCCCAGAACCAGAGACCAGGACGCTGAGGTTGGGGCAGGCGCCAAAAATCTCAAGATTTTGGGGTATGTTCTGTGGCTGCCTTTTTCTTGAGAGGAAAAGGCACTCACAGAACATATCCCAAAATCTTGAGATTATTTGGCGCCTGCCCCGACCTTGACCTGGGGGTCCTGGTCTCCCCGCCGTGCCTCCGGCACCTACCAGGCCCCCAGACCCTCTCTGGAGGCTTCAAATTGACCAGGGCTGGTCATTTAACCAGAACAAAAAAGCGAGGAGCGCGCGCGTGCGCGCGCGCTCCTTGCTTTTTCCTCTGATAAAATGACCATCCCTGGCGCGCGCACTGCACTTTCCTTGCCCCAAAACCAGGATTTTCGCCCAGACGTGCTTGGGGTCATGGGGTGCAAAGCAGAGTAAGGGGGCGGGATTTAGATTAACAAGCCTGAACCAATAAACCAAGACCTTCTTAGTGGTACATTTCCAGCCACACAAACCTCCATCGATATGTTCTTTCTTGGTTCTGGCACTCCGGCATGAGGTTCCCTGGCTTCAAGCCACTACCATTGCAAAGTCAAAACTCAGATAGCTAATCTGCTACACCCTTCGCACATAGCAGTGGCCCTGGATACATGGGCGCAGCCGGCGCAGCTCTGGTACCCAGAATCTACAGCTCAGTGAGCAGGTCAGCTGGAATCGGCGGCACATCGCCTGCAGGCGCCTCAGCCTCAACAACCTCCGCATCCCTGGACAAGTTACCGGCAACGAATGCCTCGGCATCCGCATCGCGCTGCCCTGCTGACGTCTGCGATGCCTGCCAACAGCAATCAGCGCTGCACGTAACGCTTGGATAAATGGCCTAAAACCAACTTGCCTCAACCTCCTCAGATCCTATCGGCTTGGGTTCTTCACCACTCTCGGGCTCATCCTCGGCCTTGCGCTTGTGGCCTCCAACCTGCATCTGCGCCTGCTCAAGCTGCACTTTCATGGCCGCCATGGCCGCCCTCTGCTTCTTCAATTCCTGGTCCATTCGCGCGCGAGCCTCTGCCTCCCACTTCTGCAAGACGATCTCCATCTCCGCCTGCGCCTTTGCCTCAGCCTCCTTCATTAGCTTCTGCACAAGTTGCGTCTGCTCGTTTTGCTCCTGCTGCAACGCTGCAGCTGCCTCCATTTCTTTCTGCTTCTGCGCTTCCTCCGCCTGCGCGGCGGCAAGTGCCTCTTCTCTGGCCTGGATCTTCTTCTTGCGTTCCTGAAAGAGAGCTTCAACCTGGCTTGCCCAGGAGGTCGCAACATATGACCAAGGCCAACGCAAACGGCAACACCGAAACAACAGTAATTGATTTCCGAATGAGTCTGAATCTGTGCAGGCCGAGAGACCAGCTGGGTGTAGGACAGGGCTTGCGAGAAGATAAGCCCAATCGATCCATTGTAAATGATCTTCCAATCTTGCTCTGGCAGCTCCACACAGTCTCGTGGGTCGCGTGGCACCCTGGCGCTGTCCTTGTGAGGAAAGCTTTGCCATCCGGGACGTAGACGATGCGAATGCCATCATCCAGTACCAGCGAGCGCTGGCTTTTTTCGTCCTGCTTCAGGGGCTGCACGCACGCAAACATAACTATGAGCTGGCACGCGCAGCGCACTTACGCGCAAAACTCCAGGACATCATGCCTCCGGCCTCCTCGATTTGTTTGGTGTTGGGGGGGGGCGGGCTTCCGGGCAGAGGCAAAACTACTGATGATGGCGAGCCGGAGCGCGGAGCAGCGTTGCCCTCAGCCGCCGCCGTCATTTCCTGGAAAGCCGGAACGCTGATGAACTTGTCCACAAAATGGCTGTCCACGCCGTTGGTGACATATGGCCGCTTGGTCCTGCAATCAAATGTGGCTGACAGCCAGCCTATTCAATGGTCACCCTGCACATGTCTGGAAAATGACTGAGCACGCTGCGTGCGATCCCAAAAGAAGTGGTTGTCGATGGTGGAAGGTAAGCACTCTCACCCGCCTCGTTGCTGACGCAGGGGCGATCCTGGTGACAGTAGAAAAAAAGTCCAGCCAGTATCTCGCCCCGCTGCTCCCGATGATGCCGCACAGACTTGATCAATTTGGATGCATTGACTTGGTCAGCAAAACTTAAAACATGCGGCAAGTCGCGTCTGACAGATGCATACGCTGATACATGCACCACCATTGGATAGCTGCCCAGGCACCCTTTTCGATTTCTCCATCCTGCACCATGCGCCCATACTCCTTCACTAGGCCGTCCAAGTACTTGGTTCCTTGGCCGGCCGGCCACCCTCTTCGCAAAACCAGGGACTCGAACAAGTGACAAATTGACCTTTAATGCCGCCAAAGGCACGGCTGTTGCGCGTGGCCTTCGGCTTCATGTCGGGATTCAAGTTCATGACTTCTGCGATGATCTCCTGAGATATCACAATGCGACAAGGCCATTGAAAGACTTGCGAAAGGAGGCAGACACCCCTAAAGTAGCCACTGCAAACAAGTTTCCGTGGCATCATCATTGCTGAGTGTGTCAAGCACACGTTCATTGAACTGAAATTCATCCCATTTTTGCAGAACCTCGTTTTTCCGCTGGTGTGGCAGCAGGTATAGATTAGCTGCGTTCAGCGCATCACCTGGCGCAAGCTTGGGCACGCCGGTGTTCGCCTTGGCCTTTGACGGCGCTCCTCCTTTGCCCTTCGGAGGAATCGTAGCTGGGCCAGGGAACTCAGCATAGGTAAGGGCCCGCGTCCGTGCTGGAGGCGGGGGGGGGCCCTTAGGCAGTGCCACACCTGGCACAGGAGGAGCACCTCCTTCTGCATCAACTGTCCACGAGGAAGGCGGTGGTGGGGCACCGGTCTTGCGAGGCACCCGCCCGGCGGGAGGCAGTCCAAAGCTCATGGCTGCAACACAATCACAGAGCCAACTAACGCCACAAGTCAACAGCAGCCTGATCCACGGGCAGCGGCAATTCACAACCATGGTTGAGCAAGACTGGCGCTCCAGCATTGCATGCGCAAACAGTCTGCGCGCCGAAACAAATTCTTCATTTTCCAATCTAAAACCCTGGGCATCCAGTACCAGCTTGCTACGTCCAAGGCAACTGCACAAGCCTTGAGGGAGTCTTGCTAGTATGCGCGGAACGGGCATGTTCGCTGCTTTTTGGTGGATGTTAGCAGCAGCACCCCTGTGAATGAGCCTACGCAGGCAACGTGTTGAGAGTTGCCCAAAGCTCTCTTGGCGTCCGTCCAAGTGAAGTCTGCAGGGAAGCAATCGTAAGGGATTGCGTGTGCCATCTAGGGACGATTGAAAAGAAATCCACGGGCAGGAAATCCCATAGCAGTGTACATTTCGCGAATGAGCACATGCCGCCCATGGGCCATGACCCAGTAAAGCCCACTGCTGCGGCGAAGCGTCGGGAGTTTGCCGTCCATGTGCACCAGCCCTTAGAACCGGCATATGGCCCAGGTCGATCACCTGTGCGCACAACCAAATCCATCCAGTCGCACGCACCCTCACCTGACATCAAGCGAGACCGGAATCGTTCCAGGTATAGGTTGCAGGCTTGCCGTTCACCAGGCTGGAGCAGGCTGCGCGGGGCAACTGAAGGAGTGTCTGACTCGGGGAGCAACGCACGCGCAGCCGCTAGTCGGAGGCAATCCTCATGGATGTCATAGGCACTGGCGCAGAGCGCATCTCGAGGCCTGCATCAGTCAGAGTTGAAGAGACTTGCACACAAAACATCACTGACAGTCTTTGTTCATTCAGTGTGCATTACATAGCACATGAACGCCTCAGCGGCTTGTCCCTTTTCACGCTGCGCATGTAGTACTCCAGCAACGTTCCAGCGTCATAGGTAGTCTCCGCGACACGAGTGTTGATGGCGCCCATGTACAACCTGCGCCAAGTTTTGCAGCGTAGTCACTGCTACCTATCCCCCCCGAAGCTAGGAGAACAGGCCACAAATTCAAGCTCCCTGCCTGGGCCGAGCAATGTTTTCAAAGCCGAACTGCTCAGGCAACAGCGTTCTGTCGAGAATCCACTCAAAATTGTCATGCTGGAAAGCATCCAGCGGGGCATGCCGAGGTAAGTTGGGAACACATTCGATGACCGGCAGAGGCGTGTTTGCCATGGAGCATTTGTAACTGAAACCCAGTGTTGTAGGGTAGTTGCTGCCATTCTCGAACAGCTGTTTTCCTGCAGAGCTGCAATCCTGACATGGTACGCCGCCCACCCTCGCCGCGGCGCCTGTTTCTATAGGACAGCGCCGCCCATGACGGTGGCAATACGCTGTGGAAAACAATGGCAGCTCGGACGCCAAGTCTAGCTTGTCCTGGTAGCTCTCCAACTGCGAAAAACGTTCCATGGCAGTATCTCCATCCCCAAAAGTGTCCATGACGTTGCCGAAGACATGACAATCTCTTGGCAGGCGCTCGCTCAGGCCAGCCCGCATCACAGGATGTATCTCCTGCAACATACGCAACAACCAAACGCTGCGCACGTGGCACTGCCCAGGCTAGACTCCACATAGAACCTTTTAACTTACGCAACCAAGCGTCGCACGCGGACTTTGGCGCTAACCGATGTCCAATCTGCATGGAGTCTGCAGCTAGCTGCAGAAGCCTTGACGCAGTTTCCGGAGCACCAGCACCGCCTGAAAAGTCCGTGTCCATGCCTGTACTCCCCTGACAGAAAAGGCTGGATCTTACGCCATGCTCTCCAATCATCTGCCACGCTGAGCGTAGCAATATCACAGGCCAGTCGAATCTTGCAGCTACAGCATACTGATCGCCCATAGCTGCGCGAAGAATTGAGACGATGGAACAACCCCCAAGATGAAGATTTTTTGCAAAGTGGCAACTTTATCTGGGGTGTCAAATGAAGCAACCACTGTGTCCGTGATCACTGACTGCGCTACACAGCAGAAATCTTGAGCCCATGAAAGCTGCGGAAATGTTCTGCCGTGAGGCTCTGCTCTTCAACAAATCTGCAAGGGTTCCACTCAACCGCAAGCAAATGTTTGCAGATTAGGCGCCTGAAATGGAAGATTGCAAATAGCGTTGGCTGTCGGAGACCACAGAACAAAGAACACCACCTTCAGCTTCGAAGGATCACCGCCATCGAACAGCACCTACCCAATTGGCGAGCTATGGTGAACATGCAACAGTGGAAATCGCAACACTGCTATCGGAAGCTTTCTCAGATGAGCCTGGAAGTAATTTGGGCTTGGTGTGTTGCGCGCCGTGGATGCAAATGTTTCAGAACACCGCTTCATGTAGCAGCACCGGAACTCCTGCTGGCAGGCTTGTCACGTGATAGGAAGAACTGTGCACCTCTCACTCCATGTCCTCCATGAACCGTGTAGAATTTGCTCTTGACACACCTACCGCGGCCAGAGCATTCTCTGGAGATGTTTCCTGCTTTGTTTCGAGCAGGCGCCACGCTTGCTGGAAGAGAGCGTGGTCAATTAGTTGCCCTTCCGACCGCATCGAGCCAGAGACCACACCATCTTGCGCAAAACTGTTCACATGCGTCACCATGATTGCCACTGCTTCTGCCGCCAACTTCTTTCCAACTTTGGCGCATGTGTCCTCCCCGTTTAGCAGCAACGCCGACACAAGCTCTGCGACAGTTGGGTTCGCCTTAGACTCATTGGACGCAAGCATACCCTCAAAGAGCGATCTGATCAGCCTCCCTTTTTTCTAGGTGCAGGTAAACGCAAAGCAAGCCACGCTGTTGCTCTTTGACCTCCCCACCAACTAGGTTTAGTTTAGGAAACACTTGAGCCCAGGGGCCGTTTGCGCCACAAGAACTGGCCTTCCCTGCGCTACCTGACCCTCGTGCAACTCCACCAGCCAGTTGCGAAAGTCTGGCACCCAGCGCTGACGATTGATTTCATCCAAGTCCACGCGTCCGTTGCGCACGGAGACGGGAGCCTACAGGAAAGCGACAACAGAAAACAAGAAACCCTTGCTGCAGCTGACTTGGACATGGCAGCCTGCAAGATGCGCACGGTCTCAATTGGGCATTTGTCCCGGGCGCCGTGCCCGTCCCGCATTACCAGAGCCAGCCTCAAAGAGTACAGTTCGGGAGGTTCTAGCACTTGAACTATGAGCATGGGCTGTAGTTACAATATTAATGCGAAACAAGCCGCCGCTCACATTCACTCCGATCCCGCTTGCCAGTTCCAATCCAATTTGCAAGCATGCAAGCCAAAATAGAAGTCGGCATCATCACCTCTTCTACACGATCTTCCAGCAAGTTGTCTGGAGTGAACTCAGGGCAAAGCCGGGCAGATCTGTTGTACTTGGCACGACAGACCTGCAGGACACTCTCGGTGATTCAACGTTCGCCCTGCAACCACTAACAGAACAATGACCACGCAAATATGCCTGATTACACTGAGTCACTGCCAGCTGTGATGGTGGCTGCACCGCTGGGAAGAACTCTCCAAAGGTTCTCAGGATTGCTTGTCCACAACACCCAGGAACTGCCTGTCAGGGCGGATGGTTGAGCTTGCGCAAGCTGAAATTTGTCACGCTGCATGCCTAATTTTGGTCTGGCCTCTTGTTACTAGAGGAGTTGGCAAAGTAGCACGTCTCAAATGGGATCAAGGATCAAAGAAGCTCGCCACTTGCACGTATCCAGAAAACTTTAAGCTCTCCCAGAACACCGGCAGTGTAGCTGAAAACATCCATGGCTGCGCAAAACCGGTAACCGGTACACACCAGCTAGAATCAAAATCTCAAGGATTAAAGGTTAGCGCTGGTGTGTGCGGACATACCTGCTCACACAAAGCTGCTTTGCTGGCGTTGAGCACATGCAGCAGAATGGAAACTCAAGCTTCAAGCAGAGGCCTCAGCTGGTCAAGATGCAGTCATTTTCGGTAAAAGTCAAATTTGTGGGGTATGTACTTTGGGGTATGTTCTGCAAAGCTTAGATAAAAGTGCTTCTGAAGAGGAAGAGATGTACTTGCTAAAGAACACAGGCTTGGTTGTAAACAGGGCCATATACATAGCTATACGTAACATCAAGAGCATTTTCTTGAAATTCAACACAGGTGTCGTAATTGAAAACACGAAGCTCAAGCTCTGACTGATTCTATTGAATTTGTGTGGGATCAACAGACACACATACAATTTTATCTTC